GTGGGGCTCCGGGCCCGTGATGGCACAGGCGACGCCGGTGGCAGCGGCGAATCGGGCTGCGGGGAGAAGCGGCAGGGCTGAGTGCTGGGCGGGCCAGGGCGAGGGGATCCTGGACAGGAGCGCCTATCGGGTCGCCTACCTGGGAGGCCAGCTGCCCACTGCCTGAGAACACCGTGGTCAGACCTTTGCTCTGCGGCGTCGGCTTCAGACTCTTGCCTGCCTTAATCTCAGCCAGCAGCTCCGAGTTGTCACCCGTTGGGGACATCATGTTGAAAGACTTGGTGCCTGTGCAGAGGCAGGAGAGGAGACTCTGGCTGGATGTGGAGCCTGCATCCCCACCGCCCCCACCCACCCCTCTGCTGCCCCCTCCCCTTGGGCCCAGCGGGCAGCTCTCCAGGTCCCGGCCTTGAGGGCAGCTCTCTGGGATCCCAGAGGCGGGTCCTTCCCTTGTGGGCTGCAAGGCCCCACCATCCTCCTGGCTCTACTCACAGGGCGTGGGGCCGCCGCCTGGAGGCCCCTGGAAGTTCATGATGGCTTTTGGGCCGTCCCTGGGGACTCTAGTGAATGTCTCCGCCCAGCGTACTGACTGCCCAGCTCCAAAACACTACCTGGGGCCAGCCACTCGACCTTTGTCCTGGGTTCCCTGGCTCGGCCCCTCCAGGGTGGAGTCTCCCTCTGGCCCTCTCTCTGCATCAGCAAAGCCCAGTGACCCTTGGACTGAGTCACCCTGCGCTTCCATGGCTATAGACTCGGGACCCTGGATGCCTGAACCCAGCTGATCCCCTCCCCGCAACACATACCCACAGACAGACATGCACTCAGACATACTGGTTGCAAGCCCGGAGCACACTTACTGCAAAGCACAGCTCAGTTCTGGGGGACTCAGGAAAGCCGAGCCCTACTAAGGATATGAGGATGGGGCACCCAGGAAGAAGGGCCAGGAGGATAACATGCAAATGCCCAGCTCACAGTTTGCATTTTCCACCGAGACTGGCAGAGGTGACTGGGGTTTGGGGAGGGTTGTCTTTAGAGCCAGCGGAAGGAATCAGGGCTGAGCCGGGGGGGGGGCAAAACAGACCAACAGCTCCTGGGTTCTGTGGGCTGGGGATCAGAGCACAGTGGGTGGGGGTAGGGAAGGTGAGGGCAGGCGCCGGCAGTAGGCTCATTGCTTTAGGCAGAACCGGCTGCCGGGCACGGGATGCGTGTGCACGCATGGGGGTGTGGTGGGGGAGAGCCTGTGGCATCCAGGACCCCTTGCCTGCCAGCCCCTGGTCCTGCCCCTGGTCCCCGGCCCCTTCAGCCTCGCTTTTCCTGAGCGTGCCCTGTCCCCCGCCCCCGCGCCTCAGCCAGGAGCCGCGCACGCAGCTACTCACTCTTCCTGTGCCTCAGGACTCTCACTTCTAGGGACAGAGAGAGAAGTGACAGCGAAGTTAGGAGAGGGAGGGGGCTGGGGTGAGGCTAGGACAGCGGGGACAGCAAGAGAGGGCCAGGGAGGCCAGGAGGAGGGGCGGGAGATGTGCAGAGGAGGGCAGACAGGAGAGGAGGAACCTTCCTGGCTCAGGCTGCTCTGGGGCTCCACAAGGGTGGTCCACTCCGTTCCCAGCGTTGCTGGTGCCCCCGAGGGCTGGGCAGGACTGCCATTAGCCCTGGCCCCCCTAAGCAAGGGCCTCAGTCTTGGCATTGGGTTGGGAGAGGGCACCTAGCCCAGGCTCTGCTGAGAAGGGGTGTCTGGAGAAGCCCAGAGCCTATTTTCCTTCTGTCCTAGCTTCAGCCGTGCTCCAGGCTGTCAAGGGAAGACACTGACCCCGAGCTGGGGGCCTTTCTGGAGGCTCAGCTGATGGTGGACTCCTACCACGTATGAGCTGGTCTGCAGGGGCTGGGGCTCCAGAGGTATCCAAGGAGCCCAGGCAGGCCCTACGCTGGACCCTGCTTGGAGCCTTGCATCCGTAGTCAAGGCGATGAAGCTTTGGATGGTGCCACTAAGCATGGTCCCTACAGGGAGTGGCTGGGTGGGCAAGGCACCCCACCACCCCCGCCAGGCTGAATTGGAGCGTCAGCACCCAGATACCACCTCCTGGCCCTTCCAGGAGCCCTGGCATGCAGGAGACTGCCCGGTATTTCAGAACAGGAGTCCAGGAATCCTGGTCACCAGTCTAGCTCTTTAAAAAGGATGCTCAGGGGAGTCACTGGGAGAGTGGAGAGCAGGGCATGATGGGTCATTTTTCCCACAGCAAAGCCTGGGCTGGATAGGGGCCTTTAGTGGGGAGATCTGGATAAGAAGAGGCCCTGATGCATCTGAGAAGGGGCTCAGGGCTGTAGCTAGCTTGGGAGAATAAGAGAAAGAAGTGAGGAGTGGAAGAGAGACTGGATGGACGTGGGGCAGGAAGAAGGTTAGCCAGCAACCCTGCCTCCTTGAAGCTAGTTCTGCTTCTCAGAGCTTCCCTCCAGCACCAGCTCATCAGAAACACCAGCCACCAGGGCTAGGAGGCCTTCTCTACCGGATGCAAGACAGGCCCAGAGAGGGAAGGGGACTTGCCCCAGGTCACACAGCTGAGTCTTGCTCTAAAGCAACTCAGAGCCTCCCCTTAGGGTCAAGTCCTCGTTGGGGCGGGGGCTGCAGAAAGATCAAATAAAAGAGGAAGAAGCACTA